AGGCAAAGTGCCTATCGGAAGAGTGCCTACCATCTACTCAGAAATGCGAAGCGAAAACTACAAAATGCAGCACATGCACAAAAGTTCGGACGGGGTACGTTTTCTTCTGAATGCTTCTCTCCATCGATGGCGACGTTCCACATTTCAGTCACGACGATCATATCCTTACACTCCGCCGTTTGGAGAACTGGTAGACAGCGATCCTTCGTTTGCCGAAATGGAGAAGATTGTCTGCGGATCAAATGGAAAACGACCACCATTAGAGCCATCATGGACCAATGGAAGCAATGTAGGTTGAAAACCCTTTGTTGTTACCCTTTAAAGTGCTAGGCTGTGCAATTCGATTTCGAGCCTTCCGGCTTTCATCCTCGCCACATTCGGGATGAGCCATAAGAGGAGGCTAATTTTTTGACATTTAGGTCCATCTGCAGAAGATGGTCGGTTTGATGGTAGACTGCTGGCATCACTCCCCCCATTGTCGCCACACAGCACTCAAGGTGAAAATCGCTCTTGGTGAAGTAATCGAAGATCTGTTTGCGATTCAGGTTCGTTCAGTTTATTTAATTATTCAGTTACAGATAGATTCTATTGGGCATGCAGAGTCGTGATCCCTGCAGATGGCGTGAGTTGAGGGGCAGTCAGAACAGTCTTTCTCGCCAATCTTCCGCACTCAAGATGGCATCATTGGTGGGAAAAGACCGCCTGGGCAGCGCTCCAGTCCACGCCACGTCCCACGCCCTATCGTTTGCAGGAATCATGACGGCTTCATGTTCAACGATCGGAGCTTCCTTCATCACTGGAATATGAAGGAGTAAATCGCTTCACGAATGCCGGCTGTGCAGCCATGACCCCCCCCTCTTTCTTCAGCCGTGCTTGTTTCAACTAATTATCCTATAGTTCCTGTCTAAAGTCAGCATTCTTTGCAATGAGGTATCGTTGGCCTTACCACACCGCTGAACGCTCCCTTTGATCGTCCTGCCGTTGGTGGCAGTGGACACGTGTAGACTACCACCACTCCTCCACTTCATCCATGCAGCCTTTACTTGCGCCTGTACTTCCTTGTCCACGCAACCGTCACCGGCTGAATCGCTCACTATTATAAGTACCCGAAGTCTCAAAGCACGTCATCATTCTATAATTCAATGTAATGGAATGTTTCAAGGTAATGGATTTGACGGCAAGGGGGTCCACATCTAGCAAAAGTTGTCCAACACTATCTTACGATGGTCCTAGATTGTTGATAAAGCGAGCAGACACAGCGTTAGTCTTAGGTTAACTTGAACCTTGTATACCTCTTTTGTAAAACGGAACGGACAGCCCAGAGGTCCTCGCTTTATGGCACAGTTCCCTTTATTTTGGCAGGTCAGACTTCTGCGACGTTACATGCGGTCGCGCCTACAATCCAACGCGCTCCACTTTCACAGTATCCCAGCTGCATTCTTTTATTATTCTATGCTTTTTTTCTTCACTTTCCACTTGTGCTTTATATAGAGTCTAGGTTCTCAAGCACGCGACGTCGCGAAGTCTGAACTCCATCTTAGATATGACAAGTTGTCTCGGAAAAATCATATTCCCTGACTTTCCACTCCACAGGCCCATGTAGAAGCTTCTGTGCCTAGTCAATGTTTATGGAGGCTGAATGAGAGTCTCTGCGCTTCCAATCGATACCTCTGTTATGCATCCAGCTATCTCATAGCAATACCAATTATCCCGAACTCACCTGCTCATACTCCCGCCGTTGTACCTTCTCTGAGAACCTGTCCTGAGCCTTCCATATCATCGGAGGGGACTGGATCTACTATCGCGCCTTTATTACTAACTAGCACTAGCCTTCTAAGGAAAGAAAGAAAAAGGAAGGAAGGAAAGAAAGGAGAAAGGAAAGAAAGAGTCGGAGCGACTGATGAGGGCACAGCGGTGAGCACTGTTCCGACAACTTGCTGAGGGTGGACTATTTCATTCGATAGAATGAGTTTGGCTAGGCATATGTGCAAGAGTAGTATGACCATTATTGCAGGAGCGCGAGGCAAAGGAGCGGAATTCCATGCCGGTGTCACGAGTAGTGGACGAAACGGAACGGCCACGGCCGTTTTCTGTGAGACCAGACCGAATGCGTCAGCTTGCTACCACCTAGTGCGTCGTCAGTGGTTCCCATGATGGTCTCCAGAATATGTTACGCCTTTCACCAAATAATTGCCACCATGGCCTTGACAATTGTCAGTACTCATGACAATACTCTTTCAATCTTACTCTCATTATGTACACATCACTACTTCGGTTGTTCAGCATCACTTAACTGGAATACGTTGCAATATGTTAGTGTCACCAAGTTGTAATTTACATTTTGCGTGTCCCATGACATTACATAAAGGCATCCAACTCTTACAATTCAATCTGGAAGTAACATCAGAATACTTCAAAGGTGTGGGGAAACTCAAGTGAAAATTTATTTATTACACCGTGTTCCTTACTCGCAAATAAAACATAATCAAATCAACTTCCTTTACTTAGCAAAAGAAATAGTGAGTTTAAACAAATGTAGCCTCGCCGTCCTTCTGAAACTCCCTTACAGTTTATAGGACAGGTGGCGCCGTCTTTCTGTACTCATTGCATTTAAAGGCAGTTGGCACGATAAATCCTAAGACGAGTAGGATTAGTACGCCTATCAGGAAGAAATCCCGCGCCCCGAGCAGGCGCTGCGTAGCGCCTTTTCTATCAAGCTGCAACCTGTCGACGTCCACCGCTTCCGCCCGCCCACAAATGGACGACCGTACCTGATGCTCGTATTGCTTCATTTGCGAAGTAAAATATGAAGCGAAGGGATTGATATGAAGCGGCCGCGGTGCTGCATGGATATATGAGTACATACGTGCGGCCGTGTCTACCGTAGCCGTTATTAGCACGAAAACTTTTCCTTGCTTACGGGGAACTCGTCCGAAAGTACTTTACTTTCTGAGTCATGAAGAACGAAGGCTTTTCTTCGCAGGTTTTTGACCGTTTCACTTCGTTTTTTCGCCATTTTCCCCACTATATAGCACCTTGCTAGCATTTTAGACCGAGTACCAAATTATCGTGCCATATGCCTTTAAGTAGGGTCAATTAACGGTGACTCGCCTCATGCCATTGCTCGGTACGGAAACGTGTGAGGCCGAACGCGGGAATAAAGGAACTCGAAAAATATGTAGTAAAAAAACCACGTCCAACCCATATTTCGTCATTCTAGGCACGATTTCTGAGACAGTATGTGCGGTGACAACGTTAAAGGCACAGCAGCGAAGCTCCACACTTGTCGTGTAGGTGGAGCTGGCCCTATCACCGTGCCTTCCTAACAGCCCTCTTTTTGCCGTCCCGCCCTTGCTGTCTAACTCATCGTCTCAGAAAGGAGAGACGTCCCAAAGGGGAGACACGACGATATGCCTGACTTCTCTTGCATAGACTGTGCCTTCAAATGAGCAGCATCGCACCTCATTTACAATCACTATCGCTGAAGTCAGGCATGTCGTGTCAGCGGGGTGTGGGTCTTGGCGCCGCGCAGATCGTTTTTCAACGGTTATTACGGCTTTCGGTTAAAAGTTGGCTTTTGGTTGGGTTTTTTTGGGTTGAAACGGGATGCCGCTGCAGGCTAATGCCGTTTGGACTCCAGCAATTTCGGCACCGAGCTCATTTTTAAATTGCCTAAGTCACCAAATCCGCTAAAAACTTGTATATAGGGGTAGTTTAACATCCTGATTACGAATATGACATTCACTCTTGCTGGCGCTAATGGATGACACTACGATTATCTGCGCTCTGCTAAGGCTGAGCCCAGGAGGTAATCGTAGTGTCATCTCTTGGCGCCAGCGCCAAGAATGAGTGTCATAATTGTAATAATCCCTTGTGTACATGTTTTCAGCGGTTTGGTGGACGGCAACTTGAAAATGAGCTGCCGAAACTGCTGGAGCCCAAACGGCATTAGCCGCCGCTGCGCCAAACCGCGCGCAGCTGACACGCCCCGACAGACTCCAATGGGGAACGATTGTATCTCGGCTGCCTCACAGACGACTGCCTGTGGCACAAAGTGCTGGGGTACGTTGTACTCTCCATGAGCCAGCATTGCATGGATGCTTGAGATCTATAATGATATAGGGTCGCTGAGGTCTATTTAGTTCACTCGGTAGGTAGGAAAAACACTGGTGAGACTATGATTTCCCATCCGGTCCTTGTTGCCATTGATCCCTCAGGAGAGCGAAGTAGTACTCAGATCCCTCTTCGCCAAAGACTTGCTTTTCCATGACCGAGTCGATTTTTCGTCGTCGTTCCGTTCGCGTCTGCTTGACCGCGTAGATCATTACAACCGGGACCAAAACGCAGTACCAGTTGAAAATCTGAAGAAAATTCTGATTTTATTTATAGACATAAACCAAAAGAAGGTCAGTACAGTCTTGTTCATCGCGGATGCTGAGATGTGTCAGGGGATTGGTTAGAGAGCGGCGCCAACCGGTTTTCCACCAATCAGTGTCGCCTGCTCGCTTTGACAATTAGTGGAAACCGGGTGATGCTCCTTCTGACACGCCCCAGCATCCGCAGCGAACTGGACGATAGTCACTTACGTAAACAAGGGTTGCAAGAGTCTTGTTTAAAATTCTCGGCGTTCGATAGGCAGTGAATCTGACTGTGAGTATCAGAATCGGATAGAGAACAATAATTGCTGCTTGAGTGATGGTCGTCAGTCGCATAAACCATAACGCACCTCGATTCATAGTAGCTTTGAAATGTCTGGAGACGTCAAATCTGGATCTGAACAGGCGGTGGAATATTTAGAACAAAAACGAGGTCAAAAAATAGTCTTTACCAGATTAAGTGAATAATTTTAATAAAGTTACTCCAGAAATTTATGTACTCGAAGGAAAGAGGAAAGCCTGTGGATGTTGAGATAGCAAGAAATTCAGGTACATCAGTCGAAGATTGGAAAACGCAGCAATGGTCCAAACTCTTCACAAAAGAAGTAGGAGCAGTAATCCCGAGTAGCATGGCAACAGAATAGCTGGAAGACAAGAGTGGGATCCTTTTAGTGCAAGTATAGCGAAATCTACTATCGAATCCCAGACCGGCTTTCGCCCAGGCTAACCAAGCTTTCCTCTCGGAGTGAATTGGTACCAGATTCGTCTGGGAGGATAAGTGCAGTAACTTGTACATCGGCTGGCACCCGCTAGTCATGGTATAGGTCACATGCCGTTCATAAACCACCACGATCCTGAATGGAAGTAGAATGCTTGCCGCATCTCAAAAAGGAGTTGATAAACGGCGAGGACTTTATCCTTAATTTACAGCCAGTTACCGTATAGCGTTTAAATATATGTAGTTGGCATTTATCAGGAAATTTGGCTTTGCGGTGCGCCGGCGAGATACTACACTCGAATTCCCTGAGACCGGGTAGCCGTGGCTTGCTCTCGGGCCTGAACATGGCCGGCATGCTAGCGTTTTCCGCTAAGTTATTTTTGATTTGGGACACTAGCAAATCATGTCTTTCCCAACAGATGACAGTTGTCTCAAAATAGAAACATCTCACTAGTAACCCTCCCTATGTCATGTTCAAATGCCACGCCCACTCCGTCGTAGAGGTAAGGAATGTATGCTGTTTACGTCATAGCTCGTGCACGCACGTATTGATGTGTTATGGTTGAGGCTGGGCTGGGCTTGACGCGGCTGCCACCTCGGTTCACTTAATTTTTGTCTCTGGCAGGTTTACGCAATTCGCCTGGAGAACGGCTCCGGGCCAGACACAAGTACCTAACACGCCCCATCATTCCGCCAGCGAGCAGGACATATCGGTGCTTCTTTTGTGCCCACAATCGATGTGCTGCGCATTTTTTCGTTCATGCCTTTTCTAGGTAGTTTATCCATCTTCCCCTGTCTGTGCCCTGGTCGCACATAGTAAGCTCCTTAGGCTGCGTTTATACTTTGCGTAGCGCTTCCAGCGTACGCCAGCGGCAGTGCCGGGGAGAGGATGGATATCGATCTAGCGTTCCCAGCGTCACCAGCGTAACGCTAGCGTTACGCCAGCGTTTCTCCAGCGTTTCACCAGCGTTTTGCTAGCGTTTGCAGCGGCAGCTAGAGTAGGGACTATGGGAGACGCTGGGGAGGGTTACAAAAACAAATCGATTGCGCGTCTCTGACGCGACCATCAGTCTCTTACAATACACATCTATTAGCGCCTCCTTCTGACGGGCCACTCTCTACAATAGCATACGATTGCGCGTCTCTTACGGCCACATAGTCTCTACTCCCCTGCCGCTGCAAACGCCAGCAAAACGCTGGTGAAACGCTGCGAAAAACGCTGGCGTAACGCTAGCGTTACGCTGGGACGCTAGATCGATATCCATCCTCTCCCCGGCACTGCCGCTGGCGTACGCTGGAAGCGCTACGCTACGCTGCCGCAAAGTATAAACGCACCCTTAGTAGACTCGCAGAAATATTTCCCAACCCTAGCGGATCCTGTCCTTGGAATACTTCCTAAAACACTGGTCTGTGTCTGAAAAGGAACAGAAACAAGAAAATTAAAGAAGGAAACTATCCTAGGAACAGTATAAAAAAACTACGAAAACTCCACTAACAAAATAATCTTGCGTTGGTGTGTTTGGAACAGAAGCACAGACATGACGAGACATATGCAGTTCAGTGGCAGAAAGGCAGCAGTGGCAATACTGACATCAACTGGAATTTCGGAATTTTCTAAAAGTCATGTACTTCAAAGTGAATGTAAGCAAAACCTGACCTACTGACGAACGAGGCACATTTAGGCAGGAGAGCAGAGGCTCCGTTGACACTGCATGGCGGTAGACAAAGATAATGATTGACATCGCCAAAGGGAACTGAAATTTCATTTGTCAAAAGCAAAATCAGTGAAGTATAAACCATGGTAGTGGAATGTACCAAGACAACTCCAGATAGGGAAATGTTAGCAGGAGATCAAGGAAAAAGAACAGCCCACACATGAGCTGTTCCTTAGAATCTGTTGTTCTGCCTCCCTCATTGGCGTACCCTGCTTTCCCATCATCTTGGAAAAAAATGGCGCATCATTTAGCAGAGGCACTGCGCAGGGTTAGGCCTGGTTCTACCCATGTTATCGGCGTGGATTGCGCTCTTAAAATTGCACATCAAAAACATACTAGACAAGCGAAGCTTGATTGCTTCATACTCGATACCTTTGGTTCCTTATGAATATGTTACAGAAAAAAACGAAAAGAATATAGAGAAAATATTGGCTCGACGGGGATGTTTCGTCAATTTTCTTGAGTTCGAGATTCCTTTTTGTAAGGAAATGTACAAGATGGAATATATCCATCATTGTACTGCTGGGTCCCTGCAAGCGTTTGGGTTCCTTATGGATGCATCGCTTCACAATGCAGGCAGGACCAGCGCAAATTAGGAAGTCAGCTCGATTTCCCATGGGCATGAGTCGTGCACTACGCGTCCACGTTATGAGCTACTTCGGACAACCAGTAGTGGGAAGGAGCTAATGTCTGGTGCTCTTATGGGCACAAGGGGAGAGTCATCCATCTGCATTTCATAGAATGCGGCTTGACTTTTTGCAGAAAGCGGTTCATATTGAAGAAAGACTGTGCGAACGGAGTTTTCCCTCTGATCAATGATTAACATCATATCTCTTCACTGCTTTGTGTAGAGTCCGATCGCAATAGTAGTATATTCTTATTTATATTATGTAATATTATATGCGAAGATTCCACAAACCGCAGCTCCCTCAAGTTGCGTTCAAATGGGCATTCAGACTCCCGCCCGCTTTTCGGACTGTACTAGCGTTCCGCTTTGAAGAACTGGTAGCGTGGAAGAATTTCCGTGACCGGGCGTGGTCCCCCACAAATCCTCCACTTTGGCCTCAGGAGATCTCATGCTTGAGCCAGAGTATTGGAAGAAAAGTCAGAGGGAGCAGGTGTTGACGGTTTGGTCACTATCACTACTATATATAAACGGCAACGTCTGTACGTTTGTCTGTTTGTCTGTCTGTCCGGAAATTCGGAATCACCTGAAGAACCAGTTGGAGGGGGCGGGTCAAGGGTGGGTTGGGTAGGGCATGGGTCAAGATGTACGGAACACACATGAACTGAGCTAAGCTCCGCCCACTGTGGGCGGGGCATGCGCACGTTTGTGAGCTACATAGTTCAAAAATTCGTAGTCCGGTTCTAGAAGATCCCGGAGAGCGGAAATTGTGGGAAAAGATAAACAGTCAGTTGGCGGATGAAATGAGGGAGTCACACCCGTGATGGGCGAGGCGTGCTATAGGTGGGCGGTGCTCGCTACAAAACTTTCAAAAATTCGTAATTCGGTTCCAGAAGATCCCGGAGAGCGCAAATTGTGGGAAACGATAGGCAAACAGTTGGCGGACGGAATGAATGAAGCACACCCGCGATGGTTAGGGCGTTCGCCGAAATGAACGGTGCCGTGGACAAAAACCCTCAAAACATACCCGAAAAACTCCAGGAAACGGGGAGTAAGTGAAACTGAGCAATGGTTGGGCAGATGAAGTTAGTTTTAGGGAATAACGATAACCGTAGGGAGTATACCAAACGGTTGGTGCCGTTTACTCTGCGCTTCCTCATCACTGACGAGAGTGCCGTATAGAAAATTTTGCTGACTGTCTTCTAGGGGGGGGTATATACAAGCAGTGAAACGGTAAAGTGCGGTAATTCTCAAAACATCGGCGATCCGATCCGACTGGCCCTCCCTCTCATGGAAAACTTCTCGCCGGGACCCACTTCACACCCGGAAGGAGGACTGGCCCTCCCTCTCATGGAAAACTTCTCACCGGGACCCACTTCACACCCGGAAGGACGGGACCCACTTCACACCCGGAAGGAGGATCGGCCGGCGAAACCGGCCGATCTGACTGGCCCTCCCTCTCATGGAAAACTTCTCACCGGGACCCACTTCACACCCGGAAGGAGGATCACCGGGACCCACTTCACACCCAGGAAGGAGGATCGGCCGGCGAAACCGGCCGATCCGACTGGCCCTCCCTCTCATGGAAAACTTCTCACCGGGACCCACTTCACACCGGAAGGAGGATCGGCCGGCGAAGCCGGCCGATCCGACTGGCCCTCCCTCTCATGGAAAACTTCTCACCGGGACCCACTTCACACCCGGAAGGAGGACTGGCCCTCCCTCTCATGGAAAACTTCTCACCGGGACCCACTTCACACCCGGAAGGACGGGACCCACTTCACACCCGGAAGGAGGATCGGCCGGCGAAGCCGGCCGATCCGACTGGCCCTCCCTCTCATGGAAAACTTCTCACCGGGACCCACTTCACACCCGGAAGGAGGATCGGCCGGCGAAGCCGGCCGATCCGACTGGCCCTCCCTCATGGAAAACTTCTCACCGGGACCCACTTCACACCCGGAAGGAGGATCGGCCGGCGAAACCGGCCGATCCGACTGGCCCTCCCTCTCATGGAAAACTTCTCACCGGGACCCACTTCACACCCGGAAGGAGGATCACCGGGACCCACTTCACACCCAGAAGGAGGATCGGCCGGCGAAACCGGCCGATCCGACTGGCCCTCCCTCTCATGGAAAACTTCTCACCGGGACCCACTTCACACCCGGAAGGAGGATCACCGGGACCCACTTCACACCCGGAAGGAGGATCGGCCGGCGAAGCCGGCCGATCCGACTGGCCCTCCCTCTCATGGAAAACTTCTCACCGGGACCCACTTCACACCCGGAAGGAGGATCACCGAGACCCACTTCACACCCAGAAGGAGGATCGGCCGGCGAAACGGCCGATCTGACTGGCCCTCCCTCTCATGGAAAACTTCTCACCGGGCCCACTTCACACCCGGAAGGAGGATCACCGGGACCCACTTCACACCCAGAAGGAGGATCGGCCGGCGAAACCGGCCGATCTGACTGGCCCTCCCTCTCATGGAAAACTTCCCACCGGGACCCACTTCACACCCGGAAGGAGGATCACCGGGACCCACTTCACACCCGGAAGGAGGACTGGCCCTCCCTCTCATGGAAAACTTCTTGCCGGGACCCACTTCACACGCGGAATTAGGACCCACTTCACACCCGGAAGGAGGATCGGCCGGCGAAGCCGGCCGATCTGACTGGCCCTCCCTCTCATGGAAAACTTCTCACCGGGACCCACTTCACACCCGGAAGGAGGATCGGCCGGCGAAACCGGCCGATCCGACTGGCCCTCCCTCTCATGGAAAACTTCTCACCGGGACCCACTTCACACCCGGAAGGAGGATCGGCCGGCGAAGCCGGCCGATCCGACTGGCCCTCCCTCTCATGGAAAACTTCTCACCGGGACCCACTTCACACCCGGAAGGAGGATCACCGGGACCCACTTCACACCCGGAAGGAGGATCGGCCGGCGAAGCCGGCCGATCCGACTGGCCCTCCCTCTCATGGAAAACTTCTCACCGGGACCCACTTCACACCCGGAAGGAGGATCACCGGGACCCACTTCACACCCGGAAGGAGGATCGGCCGGCGAAACCGGCCGATCCGACTGGCCCTCCCTCTCATGGAAAACTTCTCACCGGGACCCACTTCACACCCGGAAGGAGGATCACCGGGACCCACTTCACACCCGGAAGGAGGATCACCGGGACCACTTCACACCCGGAAGGAGGATCGGCCGGCGAAGCCGGCCGATCCGACTGGCCCTCCCTCTCATGGAAAACTTCTCACCGGGACCCACTTCACACCCGGAAGGAGGATCACCGGGACCCACTTCACACCCAGAAGGAGGATCGGCCGGCGAAACCGGCCGATCTGACTGGCCCTCCCTCTCATGGAAAACTTCTCACCGGGACCCACTTCACACCCGGAAGGAGGATCGGCCGGCGAAGCCGGCCGATCCGACTGGCCCTCCCTCTCATGGAAAACTTCTCACCGGGACCCACTTCACACCCGGAAGGAGGATCACCGGACCCACTTCACACCCGGAAGGAGGATCGGCCGGCGAAGCCGGCCGATCCGACTGGCCCTCCCTCTCATGGAAAACTTCTCACCGGGACCCACTTCACACCCGGAAGGACCGGGACCCACTTCACACCCGGAAGGAGGATCGGCCGGCGAAGCCGGCCGATCCGACTGGCCCTCCCTCTCATGGAAAACTTCTCACCGGGACCCACTTCACACCCGGAAGGAGGATCACCGGGACCCACTTCACACCCGGAAGGAGGATCGGCCGGCGAAGCCGGCCGATCCGACTGGCCCTCCCTCTCATGGAAAACTTCTCACCGGGACCCACTTCACACCCGGAAGGAGGATCGGCCGGCGAAGCCGGCCGATCCGACTGGCCCTCCCTCTCATGGAAAACTTCTCACCGGGACCCACTTCACACCCGGAAGGAGGACTGGCCCTCCCTCTCATGGAAAACTTCTCACCGGGACCCACTTCACACCCGGAAGGACGGGACCCACTTCACACCCGGAAGGAGGATCGGCCGGCGAAGCCGGCCGATCCGACTGGCCCTCCCTCTCATGGAAAACTTCTCACCGGGACCCACTTCACACCCGGAAGGAGGATCGGCCGGCGAAGCCGGCCGATCCGACTGGCCCTCCCTCTCATGGAAAACTTCTCACCGGGACCCACTTCACACCCGGAAGGAGGATCGGCCGGCGAAGCCGGCCGATCCGACTGGCCCTCCCTCTCATGGAAAACTTCTCACCGGGACCCACTTCACACCCGGAAGGAGGATCACCGGGACCCACTTCACACCCAGAAGGAGGATCGGCCGGCGAAACCGGCCGATCTGACTGGCCCTCCCTCTCATGGAAAACTTCTCACCGGGACCCACTTCACACCCGGAAGGAGGATCACCG